AGAAATTCGAGTTTAAATAAATAAATAATGGAAAGTCAATATTTTATTGCAAGGGGCTGGCCGGTTAGCTCGGTTGGTTAAAGCACAGTGTTGTAACACCAACGTCAAGGGTTCGTATCCCTGTACCAGCCAACTGCCAAAAAAAATCTTTTCTTATTGCAAAGATAATGTTTCATTTTAAGTGACCATCGCCCACAGCTCTTAGCCCATGTCCCGTAAAGAACAGATCTGGAATACTGGGGCTTGTGTTCTCCCTGAAACACCAATAACAGATCACTACCTAAATATTTGTAACAAGAACGACTTGTGCTCCTTCACCCTAGGTATAAGAGTCACATTTCTTTCCTTTCTCCAAATCAAATTTTAGATGCTTTAAGCCCCCACCACACGGCGCTGGCAGGACATTCAATCCCGATAATTATCATGCCTGATGCCCCACCCTGGGGTTATGTGAAGGCCTGTTGGTCTAACTTAGTCCAGCTCCATAAAGGCCCTCTGGCCTTTAGTCCACTCTACTACTGCAAATACGTCCCTCATCCAAGCTGGTATGGTCCCTGAATTGCCAGTAGTTCTGCTCTTAGGTGGGGCTCAAGGGCCCTTGCTTTGGCTAGGACCTCCTAACACCAGGCTCCAGCCTCCCTGTGGCACCAACAGCCATCCATGTAAGGAGACCCTCCCACCTCTCCAGGGCAGAGACAGGCCCAAGTCCTTTTCACTTCAAGGATCCTGCAAAACCAAGTCTCAATCTTGGGAAAGGCTTTCAAAAATCTTATTTTTTTCTAGACTACATGGCCCTCCATTCTCTACCCCTCTGGAACAATTCAGCCTAATTTCTCTCCAAAGCCAAAAGCAGAAATGGTTGCTTTCTTGAGCCTGAGAATGGTTGCCTTCTGTCCTGTCACACAGTGCCTTACCTCCCTGAGAGGCAGCCAAGCCCTCTCTAGGGACTGGGGGAGAGGTGGCAGAGGAAATATAACTATAATCATTCAAAGCACGATTTGTAATATTAAAAGAATAGAAACAACGTAAATGTCCATCAATGCTTAAATAAATGACAATACATCCAAACAATGGAATACTATGCAGCTGCTGTAGCCAAAGACTGCCACCATATTTCCCATCCCATATATCCTTCTTACAATGTGACTGACACTTCTCCATTGGAACTTGAGGTCTATTCCCCTTCCATTGAAACCAGGCAGGCTTTTATGACTTTCAACCAACAGACTGCAGTAGAAGTGAGGCTGTGTGATATTTGAGCCTAGATCAAAAAAGGCTATACAGTGTCCCTTTTACTGCTGGGCCACTGGCACATAAAACCTTCAGCTGCTAGCTAGTTAAGCATAGACTGCCCTGTAATTTCAATGGTGTGAGGAAGACCAAACTAACCGACACAGAAAAACACACCCTGTGACTACAAGAAAATGTGAAAGAACTGTCCAGATCACCTTCAGCTGCTTCAGTCCCCATTCTGTCCCAACCATGCCCACTATGTAGAGTTACACTATAGCTCTATGAGAGACCCCAAGCCAGAAACACCCAGGCAAGCCCTTACCCAATTCCTGACACACAGAAACTATGAGAAAAAAAGAAATGATTATTGTTGTTTTAAGCCACTAAGTTCTGGAGTGATTTACTCAGCAATAAGCAGCCAGAAATCCTGTGTCTATGCATTGATATGGAACAATTTTCAAGGCATAATATTATTTTTTAAAGTACAGAATAGTGTATATGTCGCTTTTGTTTAAAAATATTTATATATACACATGTATATAGTTGTATATGCATAGAATAGTGGTTTGCAACCCTAGGTGTGCTTAGAATCTCCTGGGGGGCTTTTAAAAAATATCAATGCCTAAGCCCATTGTACACCAATTAAATTATAATATTTGGGGATAGCACATGAACAGTATCACCTTTAAAAATTTCCCCAAGAGATTCTAATGTGCAGCCAGAATTGAGAACTGCTCGTATTGAATAAACCTGGAAACCACCCTGGAAAGGGGTGCTGTGTTTGCCTCTAGAAATATACACTGGGGTAAGATGGATAGGGTGCGAGGGAGATTTACTTTTCACTGTAAACTCTTCGACTCTTTGAATTGTTTACTTTACCTTATTGTAAATGTTATCTATTTCCAAGAACAATCAAGTTAACTTAAAAAAAAAAAAAAAAAAGCAAAACATCTATACCAGTGAAAACAAATCCCGAACAGCAAATCAAACAATGGTCCATTGAATAGAGGGAGTTAGTTCAAGGTACAGTGGGGCCTCAGAGGAAGTAACTTGTCTCACTTGAGAAGAGTGGGTGGTCAGGAAGTGCTGAGGAGGAGAATTCTGATAGTGGTCCCTAACCTGAAATGACTTTGCTGGCTGCAATGCCCTAAGTGAATACATCATTAATTACTCTTTGGAAAAGCTGTTTGGAACAGAGTAATGGCTATAATATGTGGCCCTCAGGTTGCCGGCCACCCCTATGAACCCTGGGACCAACAGGAGGGAAAATGCCCAGCTCAGACAAGAGAGGTAAATAAATAGATTTAGGTGCTGACTGTCTGGGCTGCTGACCTGCTGTAAAAGAAGAAAAGCAAATTATTATTTTTTAAGGTTTTAAGCCACCATAGCTGGCATTTGGGTATTGTTTCCCTATTTAGATTCCTGCTGCAAAGCACTGGAGCATCAATGAAGGGAAGGGAAGGGACAGCCCAAAGTCCAGTTCCATCGGAACCTCGGGTATCTGCGTGTATGCGTGTGTGTGTATGTGGGGGGCACTACAACATTAAAACAGCAGCCTAGGATGCTGAACTGGGAGGGAGAGGCACCAGTGGGTGACTTAAAGCTTCTTTTCTCTAACACCGTCCTGGCACTGGGGCATAGCCACATATTCTTCGGTTTTGACATTGGACAGCTTCCAGTTCGAAATCCACCTCTGTCCTACCTCAAAATGCACTATTGCTGGCTGCATGACCTTGGTGAGTAACAATATTCTGATCCTCAGTTTCTTCATCTGTAATGCAGAATAATGTGCACTAAATAAAAGAAAGAAAATAATAACCATTATTAAACTCGATGGTTTTTACTGGTGTCTATCACATGCAAGGATGGGGGTGGATTCTTACATTTGAATAGCACAGAGTGTAGTGGTTAAGAGAGTGGGATTTGCAGTCAAATGTGGGTTAAAATCATGCTACTGTCATTTATTAACTGTGGGACCTTGGGCAAGGCACCTAACATCTGAGTCTCATTTCCTCAAGGAGAATCATAATATAGCACCATCTCTAAAACTGCTGTGAAGATAAAAATAATGTGAAAAGGTCTGTGTAGGCATATGATAAACATCCAGAAATTGGCAACTGTTGCTATTCTGCTTGTTGTGCCGTCTTCTTTACCGTCATTGTCTGGCTTGACCCTCTCCAGGGGTCTGGGTGCCAAGTCATTAACCACCCTTTGAAAGGTGAGAACACTGAATGCCCACTGATGTGATTTGCCCTCCGCCGTAAGGGGCAGCATCGGGAGTAGAATCCAGGTGTTCTGATTCCTGATACGGCTTTGGGACTTTTGGAAACTCTGAATCTGGTGGGTGATAGAAATTTGGACCATCTCAAGATAAGAAAGGGAGTTCCTTAAATGACTGTGAAGAGGTTCGTTGGAAAGGGAAGAAAAGGAACTTAACCGTGCTTCCTTCACAGATCTCCTTCACCCCCTTCTAGCGGGCCCACGGAAGCTACAAACAAGGTGAAGAATGTTCAAATTCCTTCCTATCCAGTATCTGATGGTCGCCAGTTCGGGACAGATAATTAAATCAAGACACATGATAGGATGTGACTGGCTGGCTCTTTACGTGGGGTGGTCAGGGACGGCCTGGCCGAGGCGAGGCTGAGACCTAAGAGACTAGAAGAACACAGGCGACTGGAACCAGAGCGAGGGCCCAGAGCACGACGCGGGGCCTCCGGGGTACAGGGAGGGTTTGATTTTACCTGTAAATTTTATGGAAGCCACATAAGGGTTTTACACAAGGATTGGAGTTACATTTTATATTTACTTTTACATTTTTATTTACATTTTAAAAAGATACTGCTGGTAACTGGGGTCTTTGGTGGAGAATGAGCTCCGTATACTGGGACGAGAGCCTCTAACATTCTAGCCGACCGTTTCCCATTCAGGGCCTCAAGTTCCCCTTCTACACACGCGGGTGGGAGGGTACGGGGTCCTCAGGGTTCACGCATGAAGATGATGCCGCTCGCAGAGCCCTTCGCAGCTCCAGGAAGGGCGCTTCCGCATCTGTCGGACACTTCATCCCCTACATTCGCGGTGAAGGACAGGAACCCGTAACCCTCCAGCTGCGCCAAAGACTCGATTTCATTGCCTGAGGGGGCGGGGGAGGAACCTCCCTAAGAATCCAGGCCGCTTGGGACCTTCTGCCGTGAGCAGCCAATCGCGAGGAGAAGATTGGCCAGGGGGCGGTACCCTCGCAGGTCCGGGCCGAGTCATTGGCTGGCGGCCGCGTCGCTCGCCCGCAGAGCCACGTGAGTGCCACGGCCTCGGGCGTTCGCGCGGTCTGCCTTCCGCACCTCTTGCCGGTGAGTCCTCGCCGCACCCCCTGAAAACCGGCCGGCCGCGCCCCGCCTCCTCCGGGGGCCGGGCGATGGGCGGGGAAGGGGGCAGGCCGATCCACCTCTGCCGGGGCCAC